GGGCAAGTGACCCTCTGTATTCTTGGTGCTTGGGGGGCAACAGTGGGAGGGCTTCTAGTGTCCTGACCACACTGCTGGACCTCCTGATGGCACCTGGTATTGTTGGCCACTGTGTGATAGAGTGTTGGACTAGATGGACCATTGGCCTGATCCAACACTGCTTCTCTGTGTTCTTATGTTCTTAATACCAGTGTGGTCTGGGTCCAGTTGTGAAGTGAAGAACCTGCAAGGACATCTCATTTTCCCCTTTAGCCTTCTCCCCACACTATTCCCTCTTCCTCTCCTTTTGGCAAACCCCATATCCTCACCTCCCATAGCTTCTTCTTTCCTTCCCACCCATTTATAGTTCATTTGCCCTCATATTCAGACATACTTATTTACTACCTTTATACCCCCCTTCCCACAAAGGGGTCCCAAAGCCGTTTATATCATTCTCATCCCCTCCTTCTCCTCCTGTGGTGTACGTTAGACTGAGAATGTGTAACAGGCTCAAGGTGACACCAGTGAGCTTCTGTGGCAGAGCAATGATTCAAACTCGGGTCTCCCAGACCCTACTCTGAAACTCTAACCACAACACCACATTGGCTTTTGTGGGGTGGCTGCTGTTGAACTGTAGCCAGAAGCCAGGCCTATGTAGGTCATACAAGTTGGGTGACAGCAAGTCACCCAGTAGTTAACTCCTGGCCCTGGCCCAATGAGTCCTCCCTCAAGGGCCAAAAGAGCCCTAGAAAGGGAACGGCCCCATCCCCCTGCCTTTCACTGATAGAAATCCATGCCCTGAAAGCTGGCAACACTGTTCAGACTCTAACACTCAGCTGACCAGGGGAGTAGCTTTAAGAAATTAATGTGTCATGGGGTCAGTTAGAAAAGAAGGACTCCTCACCCCCTCTCACTGTGTAGCCAGCCCTGAAGCAGCAGAAGCCAGCAAGCAAGAAGATGAACTGCAGGCTTGTCAGAACTCACAGCCAACATCTGATGCAGGCCACCAGCACCTTCCAGCTCCATTCCAAAACATGAAACCCAGGTGGTCATTACCAGCCTTCCAGTTTCACCCACACCCTTTGAGCACCAAAGTCGAAGACTTACAATGGAGCTTCAGGAGTGAAGACAAAGTGTACATCTCCTGGCCTGATGCCAGCTGCTTGCTGATGATGAATAGCTGCAGAGTTACTCCCAAGCAGTTGGCTGCAAGTAAGACCTTGCAACAGATGCCTATAAAAGCCAGTCAAGGGAGACTGCTTAGTGTAGAAGCAATAAGGCACCACACGGTGGACTCTGCGATCACAGCTCCTCATTCTGCTCCTGACTCTGCTCTACTCCAATGACCTTCGGACCAGCTTTGAACTTGGACATTGAAAATGTGAAGAGATTGGATCTATACCCCACCCTTCACTACCCAAAGGAATCTCAGAGCGGCTTACAAACTCCTTTCCCTTCCACTTCCCACAACAGACACCCTGTGAGGTAGGTGGGGCTGAGAGAGCTCTGACAGAAACTGCTCTTTTTCAAGAACAGCTGTGCCAGAACTATGGCTTGCCCAAGGTCATCCAGCAGCTGCAAGTGGAGGAGTGGGGAATCAAACCCAGTTCTCCCAGATTAGAGTCCGCACTCTTAACCACTACACCAAACTGGAACTACTTGCTCTTGTATATGACCTTGCCACCCCCTCTCATAGAGTTGCTTTGACTATTGCAAGATTAAATGCTATACCATCTGCAGAATTAACGGGACGTTTCTCACGAACTCCGTATTCAGACAGGCTTTGTACCTGCGCTTCTGGTGAGATTGAGACGCTGACACATCTCCTTTTGTTTTGTTCTCATTGGTTAACTCTTAGTTCATATTGGGTATATCCAATTTTATCTAAATACCATCTTCCACTGGAGCCATGGTGGTCTCTTATCTGCTGACAGATACTGACCCGATAATCACCACTTCAGTAGCAAAATACTTAGGTATTATAATAGCATTGAAGCGTAAATAATTGCTGCAAAGAGGAGGTATGCACTTTTTGGTTCTAATTGTTTTTTCAGTTTTTTCAATTTTATGACTGAAATGTCTTACAGTTTTATATTTTAAACCTTTATACAGTTTATATTTTAATTGGATTTGAAATGTTAACAATTTTAAACTCTTACATTGATATTTTACATGTTTGTTGTATTCTGTGCTTGAGACCATTGGTCATATGAGCTAAATATATTGATTGATTGATTGTATATGACCTTGAATTGCTAGACCTTGCTTTCTAGGTCACACTCTGAACTGGACTCTGCTCTCTGGTAACTCACTTTCTGGACTGAATCTTGACTCTGATTTTGGACTCTGACTTGGCTTGCATGTAGACGCTGACAGAATGCCACTTATTCTGGGGATTTCTAACCACCTAATGTTTGTTTTTGTTTTAGATTTCAGATTTTTCAGATTTGTATTAATATCTATCTTGTCTGTTCATGGTTCCAGTCTCCAGATTTAAGTACCCAAAGATTTGGCCATGTTGAAATTAGATGTATTGATGCCACATAAGATAAAAGAGTGGCTTACAACAAACAATATGAAAGTTAGTAAGAACCCAAAACAAAAAAGCCACCAAAATCATTATTGACATAAGCAAAACAAGAGTTATCCTTTAAATAAACCAGAGAGGACAAACAATTCCCAATCTTGACTCCCTATACATCAAGGAGTCACTTTTAAAATGTTAATTTCATCATCAATCAAAAACAATAGAGAAAACCATGAAAACCTCTTTGGGAAGGCTCACCACATTCTTGGTACTGCTACCAAGGATCTGTCTTGTGGCTTCCTTTAAAGCCATTACTAGAAGACCCTCAGAGAAGAACCTCCAAAGATGACCTTAGTATGCAGGTGGGTCCACATGCAAAACTGAAAATGTAATCTGGTGCCGAACCATTTACAGCTTTAAAGGTCAATACCAATACTTTGAATTGAGCCTGGAAACTAGCTGGCAACCACTGAAGTTGAAACAAGAACAAAGAAATATGCTGCTAGTCATGTAGCCTTCAAATGCACAGAGGCCTTACTTAAACAAAACAGATGGCTGCCCTATTATTCCGTACGATTATCAGAACTCAATGGAATGAAGTTTGAATCCAGGGGCACCTTTAAGACTTTGTTGGTCTTAAAGGTGCCACTTGATTCAAACTTTGTTCTGGTGCTTCAGACCAACATGACTACCCACCTGAATGACCGGTACCCGTGCAGTTGAGAGGTGGAGGAGCCAATTGGGGCCAGGTGCACGAAAGCCAGCCAATCAGAGGCAGGCTCAGTCTGGCAGCAGCTGCCTCTGCCCTTCAGTCTTGCCAGCGCAAGCCTAACTAACTGGGTATCCTACCCTAACAGGGTAAGCGGAATGAGCACGGGTTGAGTTTAAAGTTGGCAATCACCCTGAGATATCAGTGATAAGGGGGGAGGTCCTCAAGCTGGGTGCCTATAGGCTTGGCAGTCTGGGGGGCTCAGTGGGGGGGACCATTTAGGGGTTGGGGGACATACACCAAGCCTTAAGGCTTAGCAGTCGTTGGCCGGACTGTGCCCCTCCATCCCCTCCATGCACTCGCATGTAGGCCATGAGGAGAAAGGTCTGGAAACCTTCCAGACCTGGCTCTGAGCCTGGGTGGTTTTGCGCCGTCAGGGAGCTTGCCCTGCAAGCATGATACAACCCGTGCTTTAGTATGTTAACATTGTGGTGCAGATCAGTTATATGTAAATAAAGTCCCAGTTTAACCCATACCATTTGTCGTGTCTCATTCCAGGGGTGGGTGGACAACTATCTTCATCAGAACTCAGTGTTGGTAATATTCCATTTAAGCAAGTGACTGTTTTAGGTATGTCTCTCTTGGCATGACAGTTAGCATATACAAAACCTCACCCACTCATTCATCTCAAATGTCTTCAAGTTGAAATATACACATGGAGCACAGATAAGGGCTTAGTTATGTCATGCGCCTTTATAGCTGAGCATCTCCTTGAAGTGGAGGTTGGCAGAAGGGTAGATAACAAGTTATCCTTGGGCAGTAACAAGCAGACACTAGTAGAGTTTAATTAATTTGGGGTGGAGGAGATACCAGAACAAAAGAGGTGGGACAAAATGTAAGGCCAAAGTGTAATCCAAATCAATAACTCAATTATTTCCATAATGCTGGAAGCCACAATGTGTTCTTAGTAATTTATAGTTAACTTTCCTCATCAGATCCAAACAGCGAGAAACATTAATGCTGCAAAACAAAGTTCAATTTTCGAACAACCTAATATAAGAAATAGCCCAAGCACAATTCAGCAGTCAATATGCTGTACAGTAATCTTAGACTATATGAAGTTTCAGGCAGAGTGCACACAGCTCTTCTGAATGACTAGGGTGAATTCCTCTACTACTAATCTACTATTTGAGCAGTGCACCTCCTATGTTTCAGAACAGACAGAAAACTAAGGGCACAGAAATTTCAGCTATGAGCTGGAAGACACAAAGCACATTAAGGAGCTCTGCAGTTATGAAACATATATAACGCTAATGAAACACCCAAACGACTTCATGACAAAATGAAGAGAAGTGACTACCTGTGGATACATGGGGGCGGGGAGGAAGCTGGTATTCAAGATCAAAGAACTCACCATTTCAAGAACTCCCATTTCAAGTTGGGATGATGAAAAGTATTGGGCATTTCTGTCCCATCTATTTTGAAGAAACATGACACATGATTTCTCAGATTTCAATTTTTCAGAAGATAAATTGGTACGTTAAAATCATAGAGTGTGTATAATTTGCAAAGAGTTCTTTAATCTTTTATCTCGCTTGTCCTCACAGTATTCCAACAGAGTGCTAACAAACATAAAACAGAATATATATTTGTTGGCATTTAGATAAATTTCTTGTCCAATTGCCAATATATTTTCTGTCCATGTAATCCTTTATATCTCAGGGTTTCATTCCTGCCATAAATTATTTTTAAGTACTACAAAAAGCAACAGTTGAATGGCATTACCTTCTTTTCCGCCTGTAATGCTATTATTTCATGATAGCGAGGAATGCAGAGGTCGTATTTTTTCAGGCCTTCCTTCTTGATGTTGACGTTCTCATAATACACAGCACCTTCCCTTTAGAGAAAGTTTGGAGAGATTTATGAGCCACCACTTTTAAATGCCTGAGCATCTACTTATGCACAGTGAAAGCTCTCCTACCCAATCCATTCTAGGATTCTAGCAGGAAGCAGCTGCTCTTTGCAATAACAAACGAGAGGCTGGACTGCCCCCTATAAGGAGGGCTTAAACTTCTGTAATGCTGTAGCCTGAACTCAGAAGAATCCACACCAACGGTGGCTTGTTTCTTTCTCATATCAATATTTTCTTGGCAGGTGTTTTTGTTGTTGTTTGGTTTTGCCTTCAAGTGACAGCTGACTTATGGCGACCCTATAGGGTTTTCAAGGCAAGAGATGTTCAGAGGTGGTTTCCCATTGCCTGCCTAGACACAGCAGCCCTGGACTTCCTTGGAGGTCTTCCATCCAAATACTAGCCAGGGTTGACCCTGCTTAGCTTCTGAGATCTGATAAGATAGTCTGGGCTATCTAGGTCAAGGCTGCCAGAGGTTAAGTGTAACAAAAATATAGCCAAGTGTATCGGGATGCTGTATGCCCACTGTACACGGAAAATAATGCTTCACATTGACCCAATAACTCCTTTCTACAAAGCCGGAACCAAGGATTCCTTCTGCTAAACTTTCTTCAACTGATGAAGTCTTTCCCTGTCACAAGATAATTTAAGGGAGTCACGGGATCCCAGGGGTCATTTCGTAGAAAAAGAGCTAGGGGGACTCATTAGCATAACTCATTAGCATATGCCACACACCCTGACATCACCGGAAGTGTGTCCTCCCCACAGCCGGCGGCGACCTCCAGCGGGCACCAGCAGGGAGCTCCAGGCCCCGCCCTCCCGCACCTCACCTGGGGGGATGGCGTCCCCCCGCGTCCCCCCCCAAATGACCCCTGCGGGATCCACCCGCACATTTTTAACCACAAGATCTAATACCACAACTTTGCGAGACAGTGAGGTTTCTCAAAATTCCAGCACTTAATACTTTCAGAACTGCCTTGCCCAGAGATCTTATTTTAAATAACAACAGGTTTTAGAGGGGGGAAATCTTTTTTTAAATTATAATCTCCCATTCAGTTCAGGATTCCACTCCCCTGGGTTTCTTTTCTACAGTATCTTAGAAAAGGATTAAATTAGCACAGATGTTCAGATAGCTGAATATGGTAAATCCATACGGAACCAAGGAAAGTTAATTAAATTATAACCACCCCGCTTCACCATTTTCTGATCTATTCATGATTCCTTCTAGTTATGAGACCTAGAAAAAAATCTCTAGTGCTATGGATCTGTATCATTAATTAAGGCTACAATCCTAAGAACGCTTGCCAGGGAGAAAGTCCCACTGAGTAAAACAGGACATGCTTCCAAGTAGACCTGCCAAGGATTGCTCCCTAAATTTAAGCATGACTTTTAACTCTGTTACAGTACAATCCTATACAGTGTTACTCAAGTGACATAACTCTGTATGGGCCTGCATGAGTCATGCAACCTGATCCTCACTGCCCCCTCCAAATCCCTCAGGTTATTTTTCACGTCTGTCCCGGATACTACAAATGAGCCTTCAAAGAAAAGCAGCTGGAGGAAGGACTGGGAGATAAACAAGCAGCACACAGGATAGCATTCACCACTCCTGCCACAACAGGAAAGCCCCCCACACTTTTGGCAAACTACGTAAAACAAAATTGTTCAGGAGGGTATTTTTATAAAGGCAACAAGGTTCAAGAAGGTGTTTTAATACAGGGAATCTTGCTCTCACAAATTGTTATCTATCTGTGCAATTCCACTTTTTTGGCATTAACATATGCTTCCACTATTTCTGCATAGTTTTCAGATTTCTGTAATCATAGTCCTATTCCTATGCTTATCAGAGATCTTACTTTTTTCAAGCTCTAAACAGCTGAGCTGTGGGAGCAGGCTGCCCCCACGGTTCAGCTGTTTCCAATCTAAACAACTGAGCCGCAGGAGCAGGCTACCCCCACAGATAACCTGTTTAAAGGGGCTTTCTGGGCAGGTAGCCCCAGGGGCTTTCTTGGGCAGCACTGGCTATCCAAGAAACTCCTTTCAAACAGCTGAGCTGCAGGAGCAGCTACACCTGTGGCTCAGCTGTTTCCCATCTAAACAACTGAGCTAGGGTTGCCAAATCCCCCAGTTTGCCAGGGGTCCCCCGTTTTTGGGGGGGGTCTACCCGTCGCTGGCCAGATGGCCAGCGGGGGAAGCTCCACCCCCAACACCCACAGCCACCTCTCTCTCTCTCCCTTTAAGTGTGTGGAACCCGTGTTTCCTCCCAAGCCTGTGTTTCCTCCCAAGCCTGATCTCTACTTGAGATCAGGCTCGCAGGGAAATGCCAGCTTCATGCATTTAAAAGGGAAACACAGCTGCTCTTAAAGGGGAAATGCCGGCTCCTTTAAGTGCAGGGAACTGCTGTTTCTGGAGATCCGGTACATGGGCAGGTGGGGGGGCGGCGGACGTCCCCAACGTGACATCATCACGTCAGGGATGCCCCGCCCCCTCCAGG